AAATTCGACAGCTCACCCTCAGTAAACTATTCCACGCTGACCAGGTCACAAGACCGCAATGAGGAAGGGGAGAAAAGTAAAACCTAGAAGATTTCAGTTTAGTCTCAGTGGAACTAGCCACCCACGCACACTGAGGTTTCACGTGATGGGTGTGAACGCACGCACACGTGCATAGCATAGCATTTCTGTGAAATTCTGCACAGCATCTAGTTCCCTTTTCTGGAGAAAAATTAGAAAGGGGTGTGCATGTGAGGACAAAGGGTAGGGAATTAAACGAAAAATATTATTTGTTCACCACCTTGAGGAACGTGTTGGTGAGAGTGGTAGTAATGACTGAGCAGAATATGAGCAGAGGTTTTAGTTTTAATTATTCAATTTCTTCCCCAAAATTGAGGTGCACTGGTGTCCACGAGCTGCTTGATTTCTTTTAGATATTTTAAGCACCAACTGGATTCTCTGTACATATTCAAGTATCTCTGTGTCCTAAACCGAACAAGGGCTCATCTATTTTTTCTGTCCACAGCCACAGTGACAGTGAGTTTTTCTTGATCAAGAGCACTGGGCAGGCACACCAGCAGCCAGCTGGGGCAGGGTGGGGGGTCCTGAGAGATGATCACAGAGCATTTTTCCTTGGAAATGCTCCCCTAGACTTCACATTTAGCGTTCAGAGGGAGGGAAATTTGATCAACAGCAGCCAGATGCAATGGGAAGTCACAGTGTTTAGTCCTGGGTTTCAAATGGCCATTTGCTTTATTTTTGCCTTCAATGCAGAATTTGCAGTTTTCAAGCCAATTCCAGTTTAGTGACAAGCACTCTCACAGTACATTCTCAGCCTCTCTCTGATTTACAGCCCACCACAGGGAAGGTGGCGCCTGTGAGCTCCTAGAGCCATGTGGCTCAGGATCTGCCCTGGGTGGGCAGCCAGCCTTGGATGTCCTGACACAGGGACGTAGCCTCAGCCATCACACACCTTCTCAACCATTTCCATGCAGGCACAAGGGACAGACCTTGTGGCCCAGACTAAATCATAACTAAAGCCACCACAGAGACATCAGGGGTTGCCAAGGGCTTCGTCACTTACGTTTCAAAATGTTCCTCTGCTCCAACTCCTCTGCAGTTGGCCTCTGGCTCAGCCGCCTGCGGAAAAAGTCCAGGAAAAGTTTTTGGACCATATCATACCCTCCTTGGGTCATTAATCTCTCCGGCCCTGGTAGACGCAGCAGACAGAGCTGGTGGCTGGAGTTCTTGTTCCATCCTGGGCTCTGAGGGACTGACTCTCACCACCTCAGTTCCTCAATTTCAACCCCAGGGAAGGCGCCACACGTCACGGCACCAGCGGACCCTCCCCCTTCCTCTGCAGGCCCCTCCCCAGCCTGCTCCTCCAGTGCCTCGGGCAAGGGACTTCTCTCCACAGAAGTCCCTTTCTTTCCTTGTGGCCTCCCAACTTTGGACCTTGGCCTCTGCCTTTCTCTCCCAGCCCCGAGGCCAGAGCTTGCTTCCTGCCCTGTTGCTGCAGACCCGGTTGGAATATAAAGAGGCCCGTGGCCCCAGGGAGATGCAAGGAGCTTGTCTGTCTGCAAAGAACAATAGCTGCTCTTCTTCTGTCCCCACCCATCACCAACCAGCCTCATTAGACCGGGAATGACAAATGAACAAGAACAGAGGTGACACTCCTGTTGCCGGGCACATAATTTAGCCATAACTAGAGAAAGACAGTAAGGCAGTGAACCTGCTATGATGCAACAGCAGGGGGCTGGGGACAGACAATGGGCGGACACCCCGCAGTGGCAGAAGCCACCAGACAATGGGAAGGGCACCAAAGGGGCGAACTACATGCTTGTACGCCAGTGTGAAGTTCCAGGAATGGTCAATGCAAACACACTGGGCCTCAGCCTTCAGAGGCATTTGCGTTTTTGAAGCTCTTGGAAATTATCTAACAGCGCTGCAATTATCCTGCATTCTGCATCACCCATTTGGGATGAGGTGGGTCAGATAACTGTGGAACGAGTTGGAGGCTTCTCAAAGTCTTCCAAGAGGACCCATGGTAGAAAGGAGCAAGTGCTCTCCTGGTGGTAGAGGTCTGGCCCCTCCCAAGTATTGGCAACTAGTGTGTGTAGTGTAAGATCTTTACATCATGGAACCTGAAGAGAGACCGGGATGTAAGTGTAAATATTTTACATTCAATGCTTATTGTCACTTGCAGTTCTCTGTATTGCGCTGGGCCCCAGTATCATCACCACATGCTGTACACAGCTAGGAATGGGCTTCACCGCCAGAGAGAGAATTTTTGGTCAGCACCCTGGAAACTGCTAGAAACTGTATTCCAAAATATCTGAAGTTTATAGCTGCACATTTGGAAATTCACAACAGCAGAGGTTCTAAATTTGGACTCAGCAGTCTTGAAGTCCTTTCTAAACCAGCTTTCTCGCACTGTAGGAGGAAACTGGAGATCACACAACCGAGCAAACTGGTGTCACAGGTCTGGAATGCAGACACTGGCTCCACTCAGAATGAGCTTAGAGGCCCTGCCGCATCGCTTAATTTATCTTCCCCAAGAATACTTGCTTTTTTTTTATGGGGATAGCTACCTTGGTGAGACCATTTGGTAAAACCCAGGTGTTAAATGAAGCTAGGGCTTTGGGAGAATGTTTTGAACAAGCCCTCTAGATTCGAGGCAGGGCTTGCATCTTGGAGGTTGGGACACTGTTTTGGTGTCTTATGCCCAGAAATGTTTGTAAAATTTGCCCACTGGCTCGTGCTGACCAGCCCATCTGTTCCATTACCAGACACATTGCCTGGTTCTGCCTGAGTTTTTGTTTTTCTTATGGGTTATGTTTGGAGGGGACAAAACAACAAGTGATTCAACTATAACCAGAGAAAATTCTGTTATTAACCAGGTGGGCTTTTAGTTAAACACACATGATTTCTAATGAAGACCTTTATGTTTCATTGCTCTTGAAAGAGTCTGAGGACCTCAAGGCTAACCGCAGCAATAAAATGTGCTATAACTTGTTTTGACTTTGAAAATGAGAATTGGTAGGAAAATGATATTGTGGCATTGTAATGACAAAGCACTAAACAGCACAGGGGTTAGGGAGTCTGGATTCTAGTTCTGGCTCTGCTCTAAGCCTATTTTCCTTGGACAAAGTTTTAAACCCTGCTGGGACTATGGTCTTTTTCTGCAAATAATAAATAGTAATTTATAAGCTAATGCTGATTTGATGCCTAAAATGTGCAGGCATGGTTCTAAGAACTGTATGTGTGTGAATTGACTTAATCTTCATAGCAGCCCTTTGAGGTAGTATGTACTATCATTTCCATTGTACAAATGGAGAAACTGAGGCACAGAAAGTTGTATACCTTGCCCCAGGTCACACGGTTGGCACATGACAGAGCCAGGACTTAAATCCAGGCATTCTGTCTCTATAGTCTAAATACTCTCAACCAGTGTATTAGTTCCCTATTGCTGCTGTAACAAATTAGCACAAATTTAGTGGCTAAAATAACACATTTATTATCTTACAGTTCTGGTAGTCAGAAGTCCAAAATGCATTTCATTGGGTTAAAATCAAGACTTAACTGGAGTGTGATCTTCTGAAAGAAGGGGACAATCTGTTCCTTTGCCTTTTTCATCTTGGAGAGGCTTCCTACATTTCCTTGTGCCTTTTCCAAACCAGCAGTCCAGCACCTTCAACCTCTCTCTGACTTCGGCTCTCCCGCCTTCTCTTACAAGACCCTTGTGATTACATTGGACCCACCCAGGCAGGTTATACAGACTAATCTCATCTCAAAATCCTTAACTTAGTAACAGTCGAAACATCCTTTTGTCATCAAAAGTTACTTGTTCATAGGTTTGGGGATTACGACATGGATATCTTTTGGGAGGGTGCCAATATTCTGTCTACCACAACCGTAATACCTTAACTAGTCAGAAGTTGTAACTGATCTCTGCTGGGGTGGGTCTGACTCTACAAGTTCTCCTTGGCACACTCGGATGCTAGCATTTTCCACCTGAATGCCTTCAGATAGGGTGTGTGCTCCCTGCAGCCCAGTCACTAGCACTCTCAGACAGAATGCGTGAGTACAGTGCCCTCTGTCCTGATTCTTCCTTCCCAGTCATCCCTGGCCCCTGTGGCTTCTGAGTTTGAGAGCCCTGGATGAGATTGCAAAGTCACAAGAATCCTAACTTTGGTTTTCCTTCCTTCATCCACCAATCTATTCAATAAGAGCCCCATTGAGGACTGAGCACTGACAGTTCTTAAGGAGCTCACAGCTGAGAGGTGCATGAAAGTGATTAAAATTTGCATGTTAAAATTGCATCCACAATTTTCAGGAGCTCGATAATAAATGCAATGTCCTCAAAATGATAAAGAAGTTGGAGATGATTTAGACTTTCATGGCAGTTTAGAAGGCACTACAGATTCTCACAGCACCTCAGCTTGGCCTTCTGGAGGGTGGGCCAGATCAGTACACACATGGAAGTACCTCCTGGACCCTTCCCCTCTCAAGTCCCCAGAATGATGTCATCTGCTTTATCTCAATCCTGTCCAGACCTGTTCTTAAAATCAAATGCTATATACTCAGCCATATTCAAATGTAAACATTCTTTCATTTCACAAATCATTTGAGTGCCAGCTCAGGGCCAGGCTCTGTGACAGGGAGTGGGGTACCAGTGATGAGTCCAGACAGATCAGGTCCTGCCCTTCTGGAACTTAAAGACTGGAAGGGCCGGGGGAGACAGTCAGTAACCACGCAGCCACACAACTAACTGTAAGATGGAACTGTAAGAAGGGCTCCCATGGTGAGTCACCTGGGGCAGTGATACTGGGATCTGACCAAATTACGTCATCAGGAAAAGCTTCCCAGAGGAAATGACACTGTGCCCAGACCTGAGGATGGAGGACGCCAGGTTGCTGGGGTGGAGAGAGCAGGGGAAGAAGTATGGCAGGAAACAAGGCAAGGGCCAGGCCGCGTGGCCCACACAGTGGGAGGGAGCCAGGGCACCTGGGGGGGAAACGGGAAGGGTAGGAGAAACGCGTGAGTTTGAGTTTGGATGTGTTGAATCAGAAAACTTTCGTGATTGCAGAGTGGAGATGGCACGTAGGCAGCTGGAGCTGCTGAGCTCAGTGGACAGAAGTCTAGGCCAGTGATAGAAACTTGTAACAAGCCTGCAATAGAGATAATATTTGAAGCCAGAAGTGTGAAGAGAACAACACAGAATCCAGAAGAGGAGGGGGCTTAAGATGGCACCTTATAGAATTCCAATATTTAATGCTAAGGCTATGGAAGACAAACCTGCCAGGGAGTTAGAAGAGAGGCAGTGCATGGAGGCAGGATAAAAACTAGACTGTCACACCATGATGACTGTCCCGTCTTTCTGGAAGCAAAGGAAGAGATGGGCGTCGTCAACAGAGTGCTGAGTGCTGCTCAAAGGTCTGATGAGGCCTGGAAAAATGCCCACTAGGTTTAGCACCAGGTAGGTTATTAGCAGCCTCACCTAGAGCTCTTTCAGAAGGTGATGGGGACAGAGACCAGCGGCAGTGGGTTGAAGACAGAGGTGAGAAAAAGGGCACAAGTATGCAGGAGGCTTTTATTGTTTAATGGGAGAAGACTGAACACATTTAATGGAGAGAATTCAGGTTATGTGGTGGTGGTGGTGGGAAACTAAATACATAAGGAGGATAGTGCAGGAGCCCTGAGAAGGCAGGAGGGGTTGGGATCCCAGGGCCGGAGAAGGCCTTACCTTTCACCTGGAGGACAGGCAGCCCTTTGCTGTAACAGGAGGAAGGAGGGGAGGGCGCTGAAGGCAGGTCTGCATGTGTGGGTATTGGAATTAATAAAGGAGTTCCCAATTGATGGCTCTCACTCTTTCAAGTTGAACTATAATAAAGACGACTTACGTTAGCTGAAAATATTACCTTTCTTTGAGGGATGTGTCTTTGAACAGAACCAAGTTCGCAGACCGAGGGGATAAAGCTCTAGCTTCAGAACTCTAATCATCAGAATCTTAAGGGGAACACCCAGGGCAGCCCGCCACCTTCAGCAGGTAAAGCGGCCACGTGCTGGGTTCCTTGTAAGACCCACGCGGTGCAGAAGTATTGGTTAAAGGAAAGCTGAGTAACGGCACAGTTACTGTA